TAGTACTCCTTACTCTCTGCTGGGGCTGGTCTTCACTGTGTCTTTCGTGGCGCTGGGCGTCCTCACCCTCTGCAAGTTCTATCTACAGGGATATAGAGCTTTCATGAATGACAACGCCGTGCACAGGTGAGGAACTTCCCACCAAATATGCTTACAGTGCTCCATTTCAAAACAGCTTTTTGCAGGGACTTGTATATAGATAAGAGTGTATACAGTATTTTTTCTCGTCTGGTTTTCAGGGGCATGACGGAGGGTATCACTCTGCTGATCTTGGCTGTTCAGACTGGGCTCATTGAGCTGCAGGTCATTCACCGAGCTTTCCTCCTCAGCATCATCCTCTTCGTCGTGGTGGCTTCCATTCTGCAGTCCATGCTGGAGATTGCTGACCCAATAGTTCTGGCACTGGGGGCCTCCAGAGACAAGTAAGAGCCTCTAAACATATTGCATACTTCACGCCTGATCAGAATACAGCTTTCCTGCAACTTTCAGGCAAGACACATGCGAGTTATTTACAATCGTTTTTATTTTTTAAACAATTTTTTAGTCTGGCAGATTTTTGACATTTTCTGAATGGTTGGAAATTGTTTATTTTCTTATTATTTTAATTTATTAATTTAATCTAAAAAGTTAAACTAGCTTCCAAAAAAGTCTTGTAACCGTATGATAAAACAGAGTAAATGTTAAGAGATATGCACTATGGGCATGCTTTTTTTTATTTTTTACTTTTTATTACTTTTTAAAATTGAGTTATACATTTTTCATGCTAAAAAATGTGCTAGTTTTGATTGGTCTTGTAATCAGGAAATAAAATCATTAGAACCCTGCAGAGTACTGTCTGGGCCGATATGCGTGTTTTTCTTTCCAAGGACCAGTATGTTGAGCCTTTCTGGTTTTTGCAGGAGTCTGTGGAAGCACTTCAGAGCAGTAAGTCTTTGTCTTTTCCTGCTGGTCTTCCCTGCTTACATGGCTTACATGATCTGCCAGTTCTTCCGTATGGACTTCTGGCTGCTCATAATCATCTCCTCCAGCATCCTCACATCACTGCAGGTACACAAACCTCACACAGTAATACAAATGAACAGTTGCTATCACAGCGCATAGACACTCCTGCCGTGTCAAGTTTTGTTAAAAGATGAAGTGGTATAATAATATATATCGGTTGATTTTTATGGTGACTGGGGATGCACGATATATTGGCCACCATATCGGTATCGGCTTATAAATG